GATTCACCCCCAATTGCTCTTCTGAGAGTCATGCCATGGTTTCATGTGGTTCTCATAAGGGCAAGAAATATGTTTTTTTTTTTCTTAATCCGTTATTTTTAGTACCCCACACTGTGCCTGGTGAGCTGTAAATTATCACTAGACAGGTGTGGGATGAAATAAAAGTCTTCTCGGCAGAGATGGACGAAGGTTTGCTGGAGGATGCTCACATCACATAGGCTCTGGGGAAATATTAGTAGGTCAGACAGGGCTAGCTAAGGCTATAGGAATACTTCTCTTAGCCGTGTGTAGACCAGACTAGCCTTAAGCTCACAACAGTCCTCCTACCTCAGCCCTCTCAGTGCTGGGCTTCCAGTTCTCTAGTCCCTGTCTTTGTCTAAGTCACTGGAAGAAGATATCACCCGGCATGTCTATTTTGTATGGCTGGAGTTCTGCTCTGAGTTTCTGGGGGAGATACCAGGGGTGAACACCTTAATGTCTGAACTCTTGCTGACCTTGGTAGCAGCAGAGGAAGTTAGGAGAATGGAAGAATGTAGTCCCAGTCCTCAGAGGCTGGCTATGACCTTTCCTACCTGGAAGCTGGGTCACTTCCAGTTACCTTACACCTACCATGCCTTGATCTTATTTATCACTTCAAGGAAGGAGGGGCAGGAAGTAGGGAACTGTTAACTGCAGGTGTGGATAGGGGAGTGGACAAGAGAAGTGTCCTTGGAGGAAGGATGTGGGTGCATCAGCTTGTGGAGTGCACAGGAATAGCGTGAGGAAGGTATTTTCAGAGAAAACGGTAACTTCATGGCTAGAGAAGTGTGCAGGCAGGAAGAGCAAAGCTTGGGTTCCTAGGGATGGCCCCATTGCCCCAAAAGGGGAGAGGGTGGCAGGTTTGACCAAAAAAAAAAAAAAAAAAAAAGAAAAAAAAAAAAAAAAAAAAAAACAAGAGCCAGGAAATGTGTATGAGGCAAGAGCTATGATCTGAGTGACAGATGGGCATGGCTTTGACCACCTCAGGGTTTCCTGAGCAGGCTACTACACAGGTTCCCCTGGAAGCCTCTATGCATACTTTCTAAACCCAGTTAACCATATGCTGGGTTGAATAGTAGCCTCCAAATGCATACTTTCCCAGACTTTGCAAACAGCACTGCATTGGGAAACAGTCAGTGTGGTTTGGTTTAGTTTTCAGATGGTTAGTTAAAATTGGGTTGCATTAGTCTAGAGGGACAGAACTGATTGCATAACCATTACAAAATGGCTGGCTGCATGCTGGAGAGGCTGAGAAACCCACAGGTGCCCCACGGTCCTAATCTGTTGATGAGACATGTAGGACTCCCAGAGAATTCTGGTCTTCAATCTGCACTGGAAGGGCTAAGAAGCCAGCTTTCAGTGTCAGTGAGAGGTAGCAGGGTCAGAAACTATGGGACAAATTCACTGGCTGGCAAGAAGTGAGCAAGACTTGGGGAGAGTCTTCTGTCAGATAATTCTCACAAACAGACTCAGAGACTGGCTCTTAGATAATTCCCTATCCAATAGGGTAAACAATCAAAACTAGCTATCATAGATAGGGCCAGCAAGCTGGCTCAGTGGGGAAAGTTGGCTATCACTCCATTGACGAGCTTGAAAAGCTGAGTTTAATCTCCAGAATCTACAAAAAGATGGGAAGAGAGAATTGACTCCACAAAGCTGTCTTCTGGAACTAGGGAGACCCACATAAGGCAGCTCCATGTGTAACTCCAGCTCCAAGTGATCTGACGCTCTCTTCTAGCCCCCTCAGGCACTTGTACACATGGTGTACACAGACACATAGAGATAGAGAGAGGAGAGAGAGAGAGACAGAGACAGACACACACACAGAGAACCACATACAGAAAATCAAGCTGTCCTTTGCCTACCATACACTCACTGTGGTAGATGTGCCCATGCACAGCATATATCTGCACATACACATGCATGAAACAAGTGTTACATAAATATCATAGGGGCTGAGCACTTAAGAAAAGGAAGCCCAAAGGACAATGCCTCTACAAGCCAAGGAACACCAAGGACCATCAGTAACACCAGATCCCAGACAAGGACAGACCAAGCTTCCCAAGGAGTAGGCCCCATTTTGTGCCGTGACACTGGCCTCTGTTCTCTGGAGCTGAGGGAGAATAAACTCTGTGGCTTTATTTTCCTCATTTTGTGAGACTTGTTTATCGCTGTTTTAGCAAGCTCATGTAAGCCAGGAGCTGGGAAACACTACCTTTATAGGGACCAAATACCACTTCTTCATTTATGCTCAAAGTATTTATTCTGTACTTGGAGCACAGCTTCTGTTTTGCTCAGTTTGAACCCGGTTTTCTTTCATAGATTTTTTTTAGTGGCTCACAGATGTTTGTCACAGAGAGTGTGGGTAATCTCTATAGAATCCAAGACAGAATTGTAGGCATACAAGACACCATAGATCTCCACTTTCTTCCCCATGAGACCAGTTAGCCTTGTGGTCTCTCCCAATCCCAGTACTCAGACTACAAGAAAGAAGGCTGGAAATAGATGAGTCCTGTGGCCATTTAGAATTACTAAGGTGGTGTTGAGTAGAAATTTCCAGTGCACATTAGTCTACAAAATCTAATGTCACCCTGTGCACGGTTGGCAGCCTGTGTGTATTTGCTAAGCAAATCCAATTCTATTGCTGACCAGTGAAAAAGAGGAATCATCCCAACAGCTCAATGCAGTGACAGCCACATTCAGCTCAACAGACTGCTGCCTCAGCTGGCATGGGCTGGGGAGGTGGGTGTCCAGGCACAGCAATCTGGGCGTGTGACCTCTGTTGAGAGAAAGCATCTTCCGTCCGTCCTGGGTATGCATTCACAGCTACACTTAAGGTAGTCTCTTACCTGTACATAGGTGTGGCATCAGGAAGGGAAGCTTGTCTGTTTTGGTTTATGAAGACTTATGGTGTGTGGAGTTTTAAATGGACCTTACTTAGAACTTGGATGTGGGTTTAGAAGGCCGCTGCTCTGAAAACTCCACACCAAAGGTCAAGGTCTTCCTCCTCCTCTCTGCCCTTCTCCCTTCCATTCCCCTGATCGGTTTCCTTTTTGTTGTTGTTTTTAAACCAGGCTTTCCTACATAGCCGATGCTGGTCTTGGTAATCCTCCTGCTGTAGTCTCCTGAAGGGTAGAAATACAGGTGGAGCCACCATGGTCTAGCTTGTCCAGCTGAGAATTTAGCTCTGCAGGCTACCTAGAAGCTCTGGCTTCCTCCACTGAGACCCATTTCCCACAGGCAACATACTCAGCTTCAGCTGCAGGCCTGGGTTGTTCTCTATCCTTTCTTGAAGGAACAGGAAATGGCTTCTACTGGCAAAGTGCCATACTCCAGCCCACATTGAAGGTACATTTGTTGGGAAAGTTGGCAATTCCCTCAGCATTTCAAATTTGACACTCAGACAGGTAGCAAACCATAGGTACTCAATAAATGTTTGTTGAAAGACAAAACAGGGAAGATTCTGGGAGAGTGGGCATTATTGGGGTAACAGACTACTCAGTCTGAGAGTGTTGTTAACCAACAGGATGGCTCTCAAGGATGTTCACTCTCATGGCCCAGTAGTTCTTGAACATAATAGATGCTCAGTACAACCACAGACTGGATAAGCTTAGCTTAGCTGTCTTGGGAAACTGTAATCTTGGGGCTTGATTTTGCTAGACTCTCAAAAGAAAATAGCTTTCCCTTTTCCTTAACACAGGCCAGGCTCTAGCAGCTTCCTAGATATTCATAGACCAACAGAATGAGGGCGAGGGTCTCTAGAGGCACAGTGGAGGGCAAAGAGGAGAGTATGTACTGAGCCTTGAGGTTTAGTAGGAGGGTGAGTGGAAGGTCTCTCAGGCAGAAAGGCCAAGCAGGCGGCTTTGGGGCAGTGACTGGGCTGTGCTTAGCTGTGACTTGGTCACTATACAATGATGTTTTCTTGGTGCTGGGTGCTGAGATTCTCAACACGGCTTCACATTAGAGCCAACTTAGGTAGTATTTGTTTAGTGGGGATGGGCAGTGTGGGGGCTGAGGAAAATTGATAGCAGTGGGTTCTCCTCTTTCACTTTATGGTTTCTGGGCATGGAATTTAAGCCCCCAGCTTTGGCAGGCCAAGTGTCTTTACCAGATGAGCCAGCTTGCTGCACCCAATGGGGAGCTTTTTTTTCAAAGCCCCAATATTAGTTCATGTTCCCAGAGATTCTGGCTAAGTTGCTCTGGGGTGCAGCCAAGATACCCACCTGCTTAAGAAAAGCCTCCTTAGAGAGTGTCAGGTGTAGGCCAGGGCCACGAACCTGGCAACAGGCAAGCAGGCCAAGGTTTTAGAACTACACGGATGGAAGGGCCCTCCAAGGTTGGAAAGGGAATGCTGTGCAAATTCAGGGGACCACAAAAGGCACTCTGTGGGGTGCTTACGGTTGACCAGGCGGGCAGGGGCAACAGGGACACCGAGGCTCAAAGCAGCGAGTTGTGACGCGCCAGAATCGGCGAGAGTAAAGGGAGCTGAGGCAACGTGAAAGGAACCTGGAAAGAAACTCTGGCGCCTTGGCTGTAAATGGGGCTCAGGAGTGACTACGTGGAGACCCGGAGGAAGTGGGGGTGCCGCCCAGAAGGGCGTGGCGCGGGCCAACGTTTAGGAGACTCGGATAAGGATATGGGGGGGGGGCACGCGGTCGCGCAGAGACACAAGGAAGTCCGCATGCACACGCTCGAGCGCGCACGGGAACACACACCACCACTTAGAGCACACAGGATCGCTGCACACGCTGCGGCCGAGAGAGGGAATCACAGGGAGGAGCCTCAGGCAAGGCCTGGCAGTCTCTCCCGCCGCGCCCCTGCAAAGGCTTGCGCAACAGGCGGCGGCTCCAGCCGGCCCCGCCCAGCCCAGGCAGGGTGCAGCGCTAGGGGAGTGGGGGAAAGGGGTGTGTCCCCTGCTGTGCTGCGAGCCGAGGGTCGGGGAGGGGCCAGACCCTAGGGGCGGGGCCGCAGCGCCTATAAAATCGCCCTACGCACGGGCATAAACAAACCTTGCCAGGCTACTCTTGCGCTGCAGATTGTTCACCCATCTTCGCCTCTCCCTCTTCACCTCCCTCTGGGCGTTGCGCCGCCGACCTTGTTGTTGGCTTCACTCCGTGCTTGCTCCTTAGGTAAGCCCTCCCGACGTCTTCTTCCTCCGGGGCACGACAAGGACCCTCAGAAGGGTTTGTCTTAGGGGTGCTACTGGACTCCCCCGCCCATCCTTTGTGGCCCTTGCGAAGACCTGGTGGCTTCGGCGTGGGAGGGGTCGCTTCCATCACTGGAGGGAGTTTCGACTGCTATAAAGGGAGAAAACATGTTGGGTCTCGCTTTCTCTTTAACCGGGGAAGTGGGATTAGGGAGTTAAAGTTGGGGCGGAGACCCTAGGAATACCTGGGTCAAGATTCTTGTCGTCACCCCCCCCCCCCGAGCCACAGCTGATTCCTCTGTCCAATGAGCTCATGGGGACACTTTGTGTGTGCTCGCGCTTGTGAAGGGGTGTGGATGGGTGTTGGGATGACTAGGGAAAGAGCTAATGTACCGCGTGTATCCAGGGGGTGAGTAGGGTTGAATAGACTTGGCGGGCAGTCTGGAGAAGGGGCCGAGGGTGTGTCTACTTTGGAGCCTGGTCCCGAACTAGTGTACTTTGAACCCAGGTTCCCATCGAGTCTCAGAGTGCTTTCCACGCTGTGCCTGTGAAAGAACATGTGTGTGCTGGGGGAGAGTCCGGGGTGTGTCCCGGCGCGTGCTGCACGCGCCAAAGCGAGTGCTGGCGGCGAGTACAGCACAAGCAGGGTGCGGCCCTCTAGGTAGTACCGGGTTGGCGCTGTGGCTACGAGGGAGAGGTGGCTTGTGCCTCATGGGTCGCGCGGGCATCTGGCAGCTCCCGAGTTGGCTAGAACTCCCAGTGTCATCATTTTCGCCTCCGCCTACCCTCCGCCCCCTTTCCTTCTCCCAGGCGGTCCTCCCTGATGTTCTAGCCCGGAGAACAGCTGGAACTGCTCGTCCGTTCCTGAGAGACCCATCGCGGTCTCTGATTCAGCCTGTTGGGGAGATTTGGAAGGGGCGTGTGGCAGGCTGCAGGCTTGCGGGGTGGGGGTGGGGGTGGGGAACCAGGCTGTCACCGCCTCAGTCAAGTTAGTAGCTGAAGCTAGGATTTGTGGATCGCTTCCTCACCCTGCCACCTTCCTTGTCTGTCGCCCCTGCTGGCTGGCAGTCATCACGGATCCCCAAGCACCGCCTCTTGGGCTTGAATGTGGGAGAACAGCAGGTGGGGGAGGGAAGTCCAGTGGTCCGTGTCCTAGAACAGCCTTCAGTTCTCTCGCTCACACAGATTTCCTGGGCATGTCAGCTTATTTGAGTCCTTTAAGTTCTTGTAGAAGACAGGAAATTCAGGTCAGCCAATGCCCACTAACCTAAGTGAACTGATGGGTGAAAATGAGTTTCAGGAAAATCTTTTAGGTCACTTCTTCCTGCTCGAAATCCTAGCATTTGTCTGTTTCACATGTGTGAAGGAGAGAAGGCTAGGTGCAGAGGGAAGACCTCCAAGACTGTCTTCAAGGGACTTGGCCAACTTCTGGGGCAGTGGCAGGGAAGGGACAGGCCACCATTGGTGTATGGGGGGGCTCAACCAGCCCCAGGCCAGGATGATGCCAAAGGGGGCTAAGCAGGGTGTGAGGGAGGCTTTTCAGGAAGGACTGGAAAAGCTCTAAGGGGTAGGGCTTCTACAGTTGAAGTTGTTGGGGAGCTAATCTCACCTGCGCCTTCTTACTTTGGTGGGGCTTGGTCTCCCAGTGGCCAGGGCCTGGGGAGAAGGGCTCTTCCTGCCATACCAAGGACAGTATCCTGGCCCATAGGAAGAGCTCATACATACATTAAAAATGATTGGGGCATCTCTGTTTTTTGCCCTGACCCTTTTGGCCCCAAATAGGATCTGGTACAATCCTATGGCTGGAGATATTGCTTGGTTCCTGGGTCCGTTGTAGGTTCTCCTGAGCTGGCAAGCTTTCTCCCAGTGAAGGCAAACCAGAGATTGCTAACCACTGGTTGGACTATTTGAAAAAAAAATACACTATCCTGTCTAGTCTCTTGTCACTTTACTGAGATCAGAAATGGAGAGGTCTGTGTTGAAGTCAGCGAGAGCCAGAGCTCCATTCAGGGTCATTTCTCAGAAGTCTCTGAACTTGAATGTAAATAGAAATCTATCTTCTTACCAAGTTTCAGGTGAGGCCACGAGGAGGGAAAGATAGGGTGCAAGTGACTTTTCCTTTGAAAGTGTTTAAATCAGGTGCTGAAGTGGAAGCAACGTCAGTTTAGTGAGAAGGAGACAAGGGTCACTGTCCCCCCACCTGGTGGCTTTCTGAGTTAGGTGCCCCCCCAACAGTGCTGGAAGCCCCTGGGTGCATTGACCCCTAGTGGCCTTAGCCACCTAGCAGGGGACAGAAAGAAGGCAATGTGTTTTTCTGGCATCCCAAAGCTTCAGGGCTTCCCTTAAGACATAGCTCTGTAGGAGCCATCTCAGGTGTGCCTGAGGCAAACCAGCATAATGAGTAGCACCTGAGGGTCTAGCCAGAGCAGGCAGAGTACAGACTAGAAAGAAAGTCTGGGACAGGGTGAACAGAGTATCCCGGTGTCCTTTTATTAGCTCCAGTGTCCACAGGGGTGCTGCCTGGGCTGTATCATGTCTGCTGAGTGGCTCAGGAAACCAAAGGCTTGTCTGAAGCTATATGGCTTAAATTGGGAGAACCATATGGTTCTCAGCCCCCACTAGCATAGCAGTATATCCAGGTGCCTGGAGAAAGCAGGGCAGAACGAAACATGCAGAGGCAATCAGGGGTTTTGTGCCTTAGTTTCTTTCTCCCTTCTATAAAGGGAGCATAACATAAACAATCTTATTGGGGCATGTAGAACTTGTTTAGGCTGATCTGTGTGAAGTGAGGCCAGTGGTCAGCACACAGGGAGCACTGTCTGGGAGTTTCCCATAACAACTGCAAAGGACACTATAGCGCTACCTCCTTGATGATTAGTCCGGAGCACTGTTTGTTATAACTTTAGCTAGGTCTGTGAATACTCCCAATGGTCCCAGACTTTGCTTTTTTGAGATTGTTCAAAACCCTAAACAATAGCAGGATTAGGTTAAAGGTAGGCACTGGGGGATCTTTGCTCTATGAGGCTAGACACAGCAGAGACGGGGAGGACATACCTGCTATGCCTTCTTGGCCCCCTGGGTCTGTAAGTTCATAGTTGCTCAATACTTGCTTTATGGTCTAGCATATTGCCTCAAACCATTGAGGTAGGAGACAGTCTTAATTCCCAGGTTAGAAAACAGGCTGGGCACCTGTCTAGAATCAGGTGAATGAATCTGGGTCAAATGGCTTTACCCCTATCCACTTCACAACCCTAACCTCGCCCCTTCAGGCCACATAGAGCCTCTGGGCCCAGCTTAGGGATAGTTGGTGACTCTGATGGACTCACTGCAGGCTGTGGGCCTTCTTGATCACATCTGATCCTAGGCTAGCCCTTCTCACTTGCTTTTTGTCTTCATGGGAGATGGCGCTGCTAAACTTGGCCTCCAGTTGTTTTATTGGAAGGGGGTTTACAGAAGGGCAGAATGAGAGCCCTGTGGATCAATAGGAAGCTGGTTGCAGAGGTGGAGGGCCACTTTTGGATGTTGGCATGGATCTTCTTCTCTAGGGTGGTTTTTGTGGAGGAGAGCTCAAACTTTTAGGAAGAATGTGAGGAAGTCTGTCTTGGCACCTCAGAATAAGAACATGCTTACAGAATCAGGCCCACAAACAGCCTTTTTGAACCAAGAGTTTCTTACTTTCCTTTCTGTTTAGTAGAGCTGTATGCCTGCTGCCTACTCCTGCTTTCTCAAATTCTGTCTCCAGGACTGTCAGCCTAGCCATCCCTTCCCTACCTCAAGGGATAGAAAGGCTCATGAACCTGGTGGGTTGCAGTTCACCTTTTTATGGGTTCTCCCTTTCCTTATATGTGAAGAAACCTTTAAATCTTCATGTTGTAGTCTTCTACCTACAAAGACAGGGTGCAGGCCAGCCTCCATCTTCACTAGTTTCTGTCCCCAGCTCCTCCTCCTTGCTAGTGTAATGGTTCTTGAGGAGACCTCCAAATACAGATATAATGGGGCTTCTTAAGAGACGGGTGACTCTCGACCTTCTTTAGCTAGCGAGCTTCTGCCCTTCCAGACTCTTCTCTGGCCTCGCCATGGTTGGCAGTTTGGCTGATTGCCCACCCTGTTCTCATTTGTCCTGGGGGTCACACTATGCTGTCATCTGTCTGCTTTCCCATGCCACGCCACCTCCCAGGGCCAGAGATCCTGGGTTTTAGTGAATACTCTACACATTGTCTGTCCAAAGGAAATCTCCAGTGAAGATGGTAAAGCAGCCCATCTTTACAAAAAGTAATGGAGGGACTGTTCTAGAGTATGGAGGCAACAGAGACATTATGGGGAAGGATCTCATTAAGGTGGCCAGCATGCAGTTTGATCTTGGGGACAAAGGGCTCTGTATGAAGATCCACTTCCGCCCTGGGCTAACACTGGTTCTGTGATGTCAATAAACTGTCTCAGCCTCACCAACATATCTTACACCCATCCCACAGATTCACAGAATAGTCCTCTATTGCGACCGATGTCCTTCTTCAGACTTCCAGTTACTGCCTTATCCCTCAGACAGTTGTGTGCCAAACCACTAACTGCCAGAACTACAGTGCCAAGACATCACTGAGCACTTTGGGAAGATGAAGGCAGGCAGGTTCTTGCCATGCCTGCTTCCTGCTATTCTGTTCTATCGAGCTCTCTGCTCTGCCTACCTTACTGCTGCTTGCTCCTGGGTCCCTACTGCATATACAAAACCCCCTTTCAGCTGGGCCAGGTAGTGCAGCCCTGTAATTCCAGCTGCTTGGAATGTTGAGGCAGGAGGATTACAAGTTCAACGCCAGCCCGAGCAACTTAAGACTGTCTCAGAGGAAAAAAGTATGGAAAGACGGCAGGGAACATAGTTCAGTGGTAGAGTCCTTGGCAATATGCTAGGTTCAGTCTAAAACCCGAAAGTTCCGGTCCCCACAGATGCTCAGGGGTGAAGCAGCTTTGGTTGACCAACAACAGGTGGCC